ACTGCTGCTGCTGCAACAACAACAACAACTACTACTACTACTACTACTACTACGACTACGACTACGACTACGACTACGACTACGACTACGACTACGACTACTACGACGACGACGACGACGACGACAGTGTACGAGCTATGCAGAACCGCTTCTGATACGCGTCGTTTTGGTCGTTTTAAATGACGGTCGTTTTGGTCATTTTGTTTTGCTCGAGGACGCAACAGGAGGCAAAATGACAAGTCATTTTAGTCGTTTTGGTTCGGGCCAGAACGACCGGTCGCTTCTTTCTGGGTCTGTGTTGTTCGCAGTTGTTCTTCTCTCGTTTTGCTAGTATCGTCTTCGCATGATGTTGCGTGTTTGTTTCTGGTCGGTTTGTACGGACTAGCTGTGTTCTAACATGATTCCCTTTGAACAGCAAGCTGCCTGGCCCAATCACAGCTTCAGACACCGTGCCATGCGCTGGTTCTACCTCAGATTATTTGGCCTTTGTGCAACAGTCGGGCTGTTGGTTTTCTGCCAACGCGTCGGCCACTGCGCAGATGGCGACCATCGCAGAACTCGAAGTTGTCGGCGGGCTGGAGCTCGAATCTTGACGCTTCAGCACAAAGACTTCCACGCCGCTCCGCCATGCAGCATAGAGGAATTTGAGACTGTCGTGGGAACCGTCCGAGACCAAGATGGTCGCATCCGGCTTGGCAGGCCCCCGACATTTCGCCTGCCTTCGCACGGAGGTATGTTAGAAAAAGAGGAAACACGAATCTCCTTTCATGGGACGAATTTCATGGAGAAGGTGTGGCAGATGGTGCATCAGGGAGGGCCAAGTGCCAGGAAAGCAATTGCTGCAGCTCAATTTGTAATGCCCAGAAAGATATTGATACAACTCCTCAGATGGGTTGTGCTGGATCGAGAGTTTACTGAAAGGACTTGGTATGATACGATGAAGCATATCGTTTGCATGCCCACCGTGTTAGAGTGGATTTCAGCGGAAAGGTTTGGTTCAGAATCCTGCTTGGCGGCCTCTGCTGTTCGAGCTCGGACTGAGGACTGGAATAACTGGGCAGATTACAGCCAAGCCTTCGAACGCCTCGCTGCTCCGGACAAGATTGGTGACACTCACGAAATAGTGAAATTTGTCCTTGGAGATTTGGATGTGGCAATCTACACAGAAGTGGACTCCAGAAGTGATGCAGGTGAAGCGGTAGAGCTGAAAACGGTCCGCCCTCGAAATCTGAAGGCGTTTCGGACATCGCGAGCTTTGAACACGTATTTCGAGCTGTTGTTTTCAAACTGTCAACGTCTTTGCTTGGGTGTCATCGACAAGGGCAGGCTGACTGAAGTGACAGAGATGAGTCTCCCCCAGTTACACAACTTGCTGACAGAAGCTGGAGATGATCTCGACATCATCCTGGGGAGGCTGGCCGCGGCAATGAAGGTCATCTACAACACTTGCACGGCAAAGCGATCACAAGAGCAGATGGCTGGACCTTACGAGCTTCGCTACCGGGATGATGTATTGAGTCTTTGGGAGCTGGAGGTCGCTTGAAACCAAAGAGGCCCCATGACTTATGTCTCGCCTTACCCGCTTGCCCATGGACCCGGGCACATGTTCCGGGAGCATACTGCATGTATCTAGTACGCAGCATTCATCTGGCCTGTTGGCCTACTCGTTCTAACAAGGACAGAGCGCCACAGAAGCGTATATCGATGCCCCCAACTAGACCCCAAGTCAGTCAAGATCCTTTGCCATGTCAGACGAAGCTTGCAATTCCGCTAGCTTGGACCATCGCGATCTTGTCAGGATTTATCATGAGTTTAGTGCATTGGTGGTGTTTTGTGCAACACACGACCAGCACGCCCCTTAATTCCGCATTCCTTAACTCTTGGTTTTGGAGCCAGTATGCAGTTTTGAGGCTTATCGAGGAGCTTTCCGAAGTCTTATTCTTAGCACTGCTTGCTGCAGTATGTGGGTCATTGCCTGCTACCTTCTGCAGGCCAGCCAGGTCGGCAACGAGGCGGTAGATGCTCTGGAGACGGCGAAGGAGCCTCCCCGTTTATGCTCTCGGACATGTAGGCCCGCTGCAAGCATGATCTAGGGTTTTGGTATGAAGCCTCTGCTTAGGCTTTGGGAGCCCCAACGTACGCGCACAGAGTTCCGGCAGCCGGATGTGCCGGCATGGGGCATAATGGGTGAGTAAGCTGTTGTGTCGAGTGTTTGCCTTTACTTCCGATTAATGTGCCCTCCATGGCTTGCGGTAAACCGCTGAGGTCGAAGGGTGTAGATCGCGCAAGTTTGTCTTCCCCTAGCAAAGTGGATCGACTCTGGGTGATGGCGATGGTTTTCTCGAAGGCTATGAATTGGGGTCATGGGCCACTGCATGACCCGGTGAGCGTCCAGTTAGATTCCGTTGTGCTTTCTGAGGCTATCCGTTTGCTACTTCGTTTGTGCTCGCGACGTTCGTACATGATCGTAGCGTAGCATTAGCGACTGTAGCAGCTTCCCACAACTGTTCAGGCCGCACACCGAGATCAGTTTTCTTGCCGCAAGCCTGCATCAACTGCCACCAGGCCTTGTGGCTTCAAATGCCCACGTCTGACAGGCCACTTTTGGGCTGTCCCAGCCCGATCGAAAATTGGGTTTTAACGACCGGACCGTCGAAAACCCGATTGTCTGCACGGCCCTTTTAAGCATGCAGAGTGGATTCGAGACTCCAAAGCAGAATGCTGCAGCTTCCCGCATTGACCTTTCTGTTCGATTCGTGCAGGAATACTTCGGAACTCCACTGAAGGCGCAGCATGTTTGTTAGTTGAGTGCGGTCGGAGGTTCACTTGGAGCTTTAGAATTGGTTGTGGCTCGCAGATCAATTGGACGGCACTCAAGCAATCCATGCCAAGAGGGTGCGCCGTGGAATCAAGGGGTTTGCTGACGTAAGAAGCCCCCGATAACCTCAGGCCGATCTCTCCCGGGCTGGGGACCTCGTCCGAACCGCAAAACACAGGTTTCCGGGACAGTCTGTGTGAGGCACTGTTCGGAACAAGTCAGAACCGCATCAACTGAAAATCCGACTTGGACTGTAAGGCTTCCTCGAATAGACGGGAACACCCAGTTCAAAGTTCGCGTGCAGCGGAAAATACCCGACTGCCTCCTACACCTGAGTATGAGAACGAACGGCCTTTCGGAGACGAACCTTTCGGTGCAAATCTGTCGTTGAGCCCATGAGTCCGAAGCAGGGACAGGTTTACATCGGCCGTCCTTAGTGAAGCTTGCAGCAGGTGGGGCAAGGGCATCCATGTGGCCCCCCCGCACCCCTGGGCTCGTTGGGGCTCCCGATGACCGTAAGCAAGCCATGAGCTCATGCGGACAACCCTAGCCGGACCCGATCCGAAGGTCTCAGGTCTGTCGGAAGAGCAGCGCATCTCGCCCGCAGCATTGAGGTTGCTCAGTTTTCAGCATTTTAGGTTCCATTCGCTGGACTTTGGATCGAGGGAGTTAAGGGGAAACATGTTTGACAGGATTCTTTGCCGAAGTCATCACGTCAATTGGCCTAGAGAGATCTTGGGGATCTGTCCGTCTTTTGCTAAGCTTTGGCTGCGTTGAGGGCTTGTAGCCGTCATTCAGATGGGCAGTATCGGGTGGACATGGCTTAGTCTTGGTGACCGGGCATGGCATCAAACAGATTCCCAAGAGCATCCATGTTCCGAAACTATTCTCGTTTATTCTGAAACCCTCGGCACCACAGGTTCATCCACAAGGGGTCGGGGCAAAAAGGGTGGTGGTGGGAGCCGGTGAGACTGCATGCAGGCAAGTTCCTGAAACAAGCCATGCAAGCCTGCAGCCCCTTGGCCGCAATTCCGTCTCGTTCCGAGACAGCAGTGTACCCACGTACGAGCAGAGATGTGGAGAGTAGTGATGATCCACAATCATCCGCGTCATCCCATTCTAGCAAAGCCACTAAACACCATGCTCACAGGTGTTATCATGGTTGCCAGTACTGTCGGCGTCATGAACCATCATGCCGTTTGGTGGATCAGCACGGCCATCATCATCGCCATGATCAGCATCCTCATTTTCATCTTCATCAGGCTTTCTCCTCAGCTTCATCTTCATCTTCATATTTGCCTTCATCTTCATCTTCGTCACCATCATCAGCATCATCACCGTCATCATCATCACCGTCATCTTCACCGTCGCTGCGGTTACCAGCCTCTGCAGCACCTGTGGCATCGAGGGTGACAACAATGATGCTGGAGATGCTGTTGTTATCAATCGTGCTGCTTTTGGCACCGACGACGACACCCAGAAGGAGGAGGAGGAGGAGGAGAAGCAGCAGGAGGAGGAGTTCGACGACTACGTGGTGGTGGTGCTGGTTGTTGTTGTCCTTTTGCTACTGCTGGTGTCGTTGTGGCTTAATGTTTGTTGTTTGTTGTCGTCGTGGTCGTGGTAGTGATGGTGGTGGTGGTGGTCGTCGTCGTTGTTGTTGGCTGGTCGGCTGGCTGGCTGGCTGGCTGGCTGGCTGGTTGGTTGGTTGGTTGCTTGGTTGTTGTTGTGGTTGATTATAATTGTGATTGCGCTTATTTCTTTGTTTGTTTGCTTGTTTGCTTCTTTGTTTTGTTTGGCTTGTTTTTGTTTTTTTTGTTTGTTGTTGTCGTTGTCGTTGTGGTTGTGGTTGTGGTTGTGGTTGTGGTTGTGGTTGTGGTTCTGCTTGTGCTTGTGCTTGTTGTTGTTGTTGTTGTGGTCCTTTGGTTTCTTGGTCCCATGTTTCCCCGTCCTGCGGTTTCCAACTCTTTGCTACGTCCTTTTTTTGGCCTTCTGTTTTTTCTGGCTTCCTGGTCTTCGCGTCCGTTGGTCGCCTGGCCACCCGAGCCTTGTTCCTTTGGTCTTCTGGTTCTAAAGTCCTGTAAGTAGTCCTCTGGTCCCCTGATGCCCTGGTCCTCTGGCCCTCTACACGTTTCGTGTCGCAGTTCCTTGGTCTTCTGGTCCTCTGGTCGTCTCGTCCCTTGGTCCTCTAGTTAAGATGAGCCGGAATTGCAAATTGGTTTCTATGGGCTTTACGTTAGTTGTTCGTGTTTCTTAATGTTGCTTTCGATTTTTCAATTGGTTTTCGCCGAATCAGGGGGCGTGTTTAGGATCTATGATGAACCGCCAAATGAGGGCGCGCGTTTAAGATATCTGATGAGCCGGAATTGCCAAATGAGGGGGCGTGTTTAAGATATATAATGAATCCGGATCGCCAAATGAGGGGGGTCTTTAAGGTATATGATCAACCGGAACCGCCAAATGACAGAGCAGTTTAGGATATGTGATGAACCAGAATCGCCAAATTATCGCCAAATGAAGGGACGCGTTTACGATAGCTGCTGCTGCTGCTGCTGCTGATGCTGCTGCTGCTGCTGCTGCCGCTGCTGTTGATCATGACGATGGTGATGGAGGTGACGATGTTGATCGTGATGGTGATGATGATGCTGATGATGATGGTGATCATGATGATGATGATGATGATGACCAGCTCTACAAGAGCACTAGTGCTGCTTCCTAGAGAGGCCGTCCACGCAAAGCGTGAGATGACTAGCGCCCGCTAGACCGGACTTCCCGGCTGCGTGAGAAGAAGATGATGATGATGATGGTGACGAGCCCAGGAGGGCATCGGCAAACTTGAGGCGGCCGGATGGATGAACCCTAAGGCCGAGTGGATTTTTTTCCGATGGAACCATCAGGAGGAAAGGTCGTGACGGACGACACCAAGCCGGCTGTATCACAGGAGGACCTACGTCGACTTTTTGCCCGCCACTCTGTAGGGGGACGTGATCCACCGCTTCAGTGCTGTTGCTGGCGCTGCTGGTGGGGTGGAGGGGTGCCGGGGGTGGCGGGTGGGGGATGGATGAACATCGTTATGACCCTCGTCATCAACAGCAATCATCATGATGATGATCATCATCATCTCCAGCATCTTCACTAGCATCATCATCAACATCATCATCATCACAACAGCAACCTCATCATAATCATCATCATCATCATCATCGTCATCGTCATCGTGATCATCACGCCATCACTAGCACCACTATTCTTAGCACCACCGCCATTTCCATCATCATCATCATCATCATCATCGTCCTTTTAATTGCCATCACTGGGGCATGCCATTGCGCACCACCGCATCCTTGCTCTCATTGTCTCGGCAGCTGTTTTCCTCCTGTTCGGCATCGCTCACAAGATCCAACGTTCATGCACATGCTCAAAGGTTATCACATGTGTTGACCCCGCGCCGCCTCCAGTACAATCTTTGTATGTCACATTGCTACCACTGCCTCACCGTCATCGCCATCCTTGTCGCCTGCATCGTATGAGTCATTAGCAATGGCGTCATAATATATCGTCATCGTCATCATCTCCGACTTCTTAAACTCATTCTCCTCCGCTGGGTCTTAAAATTACAGCTTTGCCATGGTCATCGCCGGCATCATCCACGATCGCCACCACTGTGTCCACCGCCAAACCCATGATCATGAGACAACTAGCCGACTAGCCTTCACCAAGCTGCTCCG